TCTCAGATTCAGATAATCCCATTAGCATCCGCAACAGCGGAATGGCTGTCGTTGGGTTCACACTCTATGGCACCAGAAAAGCTGACAGAGCTGCAGGTGCGCTGCCCATGCCCGGCCGGCATTGAACACAAGATTTGACGAAAACAGCGCGAAATGCGTTTAACAGGCATCGGAAAATGCAGTTGGGTTTGCGCAAAGCTCCGGGAGCTCAATTTGAGCAGTTTATGGGTTGTTGCTGAATCAGGACAAATTAACATTTATAGCATGTTCCCGGAGCTCCGAGAACTGAGTTTGAGCAGTTTCTGGGTGGCTGCATTCTCGGGTGCGGGGACAGCGTCGAACACCAGATTGAACACCAAATGTGAGGAAACTAATGCCAAATGCGCTTAGCAGGCATTGGAAAGTGCACGTGGGCTTGGCCGGGGGCTTCGGGAGCTGAACATGCACTTGGGCTTGGATTCTACGGGGGAGTGGGACGACCCTGTGACCCTGCATATGGCGAAACAACGAATAAGCTGCCCCGCAACTGGCCCTTCACCCGCCCGGAACTGCCCCGGAACTAGGGCCCCAAACCATGTTTCGGCTGAAGACCCCAGAGCTCTCGCTGTTGGGGAGAAAAATGAGCACCATCCGAAACACAAATCGCAAGTTACTCCCGTAAACGTTTGCCACTAAGAGATCACTCGTGAGGACACAGACAGCTGACGATGAGGAGCACCTGGGTTTGCAAGGATGCTTCAGAGAGGCTAGGTTTGGGAAAGCACGTTCTCAGTAGGGCTGTCGGCAACTCTTGACCATTGGCCCAAAGCTTCTGCCATGACGAATTCATAGGACGAGAGACTCGAGAACTGCCAGCAAGCCAATCAACAACTTCTAGCTTCCAGATCGGCGTACAACAGCGACAGCATCGTGATGGTGGCACCTGTCGGATTAAGCAGTCGCAAGTCACTGGCCGCCCAACATGACACAGAGCATTCGGCTTTCTGCTGTACTTGTTTGGCAGCTTTCGCAGACTACTTGCAGTGGTTATAGTGACGCACACTGTTGGCTTGGCGTGCCTGATGACATCAGGGATCATTGCTGCAGGTTTGGAAATCGCAGCTGCTTCACGAACGAGTTCACCTTTGAACGTTGCTGTCAGAGGGCGCAGGCAGAAATTCCGTCCAAGCCGAAGCCGGCCGATGGCGCTCCATGCTTTCACGATGAATTCACCTTCACCCGATGTTGCGAGTCTGCCGGTGACTTGAAAGTGTTCCTTGGTGATGGAGGATGCTTTGAACCGCGTGGGACATACACCTACTTGAAATGCTGCTTTGAGCTGCCGGACTTGGAAGAGTGGATACATGTCAACAAGGTCAAGGGCTCCCCGACCTCCGACTACTTTCAGATCTTTGGCACTCTGTACATGACTGAGCCGGTCAAGCAGCGGTTTAGACAACGTGGCATCGCCATGCCTCCAGCTACCCTTGGTGGCGTCAGTCATGCTAACGTTCAAAGTCCCTGCCTGAAAAGCGTTTTGTACGATAACACAAATGCCAGATACCAGCTCATCCCTATGTGGAGCGGCAAAGAGATCTTTCCTCCACCTCCGAAGGAAGTCACCATGCTGATAAAATTCCCCACCCGGATGAAGGAAGCTGTTGCGTGCTGGAGCGACACACAGTGCCAACTGTACATGGTCAAGCTTGACTGGTATTCCGTTGATCGACATTTCTTCGAGGGTGCCTATGCATCTCGCTGGGATTGTAGCTGGGAGGGTTTACCAAGAGCCAAGAGACAAAGCACTCTTGTTCGAAACAGCCAAATCCACAATCCTAGATTGCACTTCCATAGACATAGACCTATCCCTGTGATCTAGAATCTATGTTCCTCAAGCCTCACCCCACCAGATGGCTGCATTTAAGGTGCTGACACTGCCTTTCGGTTGTAATCTCGGGGAAGCGGCGGTGACGGTCATCCCGGTGCTGGCAGATTCTCGCATTTTTGAACCGGCGATACTTGCAGGCGACACTAGCCAGCTACAGGCTAGAGGCTATAGAGTGGACTCCCGGTCTAGCATTCAAGTTCAGAAGAAGTTGAAAAAAGACCTTTCGCGATGTTGTCGCGATGCTTGTAAGAGCCATCGGTTGCTGGACTTGGGCCAGGTGTCAGCTTGCAGCAGATCCGTTCAGAAGATCCATGCACCTCGCCACCTCGAACACACGGTGTTCCAGCCGCTCGGAAAACAACACAAGCTGGCATATTTCGGCCTACTGCTTATAGTTGTTTTTGAACACTTCGTTCTCATCAACTTGATTGCGCTAGACGAAACATTTCGCAAGGCCATGTGTGGGATTGTTTGCGGCCTGTCTCTTGTCCCGTGGATGTACCACCGCTTCTGGCGGAGAAGCACATCGGGGGCATCGGCATCCGACAAAGCGAGCAACGCGAGCCCCGCGAGCCCGAAGTTGGCTATTGACATCCTACGGCTGCTGGCAACATGGGTGGTGGTTGACCAGCACAGAGGACAGCCGTTTCCATTCAAATGGCCCCTCTGCTACATGACCGGTGCGGATACCGAAAGGCTGCAAGACGTGTTCATTGTCGTGACCGTGCGCTTGATATCTGTTCACAGCTTGTCTGTGCAGTCGTTTTCGATGAAGGTCTTGCGGAAAGTGGCAGTTCAAGCTAGCGTGCAAATCGCGTTCACCCATCTGGCAAGCTTCTTCGTTCGTCCCGCATCCCTCCTTTACTGCGGACAGAAACATCTCTTCGATGAGCAACCACACATTGCTTATGCAGGTTGGTTGAAATGGATCTTGGCAGCTGTGACGATGCGAGACTTTGGCAACCCAGATAGTCAAGGCATTGAAATGCTGTGGCCGGTGTACCCGAATGATGATTTTCCAAACCAGACGTGGCCGACTTCGACGTGGTTTGTTTGCTTGGAATATTCGCTCTTCTGGTTTCTCGCAGCCGTGACTGCAATCGAAACTATAGTACCACACCTAGTTCCGGCCGGCACACTCGCCTATTTAGCGTGGATGTGCATGGATCCAGACCATCTGCCACAGGTATGTGGTCACCGCGACTATTATCGCTCGTTCTGGTACTGTCGGCTCCCTTCTGCTATGGTAGTCCACTGTGCCTGCCGTGCCCTTTTGCAGTTCTGTGGACCTTCGGGCTGTCTCCCACGCCTGTGCACGCCTTTCGTCATTGTTGCCATCGGAGTTGCCCTAGCGCTGGACACGGCCATCGAGGGCCATCCAAGCTGGAAAGATTTCGGTTTCGGAGAATATCACTGCAGGCGACACTTGCCTTACATGGTTGCAGGCTTACCCTTTCAAGTTTTTCTGCTGGTGTTCACATTCCTCGACATCAAGCTACCCAAGCCAGCCGCTGTCTGGGTTTGCTACTTGGCCAACTTGAATTTCTGCGTGATGGCCTCTCATCTCTGGGTTCTGATGTTCTTTGACAAGTATGCACCAGAATTTGTTTCTGCATGGGCCCGCGTGAGAAACGACGCAGAGGGCCAGCCCTTCGCGATGCACCAGCTTTTCATCGTTTTCGTTGTGGCAGCAGTGTTGCATGGGTTCGTGGCTGAACCGGTGCAGCTGCTGGTCAAAGGACTGGCAAAGTATACATGGTTAGCTCTGTCACTGGCTTTTGCGCATCCGCTACTTTGCCTGATGACCTGGCCTCGCAACCACAGTTACTATCCCTTGTTCGTTTATGACGACAATCTTTCTGGTGTGGGCAGGCGCCTGCCGTAACCGTTATCTCTGACTTTCGGTGTAAGGGATTCCTCGGAAACACAACCGCAGCTGGAACAGGCGTCCGAAAGCACAATGTGACCATGTCGTTTTGACTGTCTATGCTCAGCCAAAGCTGTGCATGAACTTAAGACTTAACTAGGCACGAGTCCTGCAGCACTGCGTGGACTTGAGTTGGAAGGTACTGTGCACAGCTTCTTGCGAGGTTTGTCTTGGCGCCGAAAAGTCCGAAGGCATATCACCTCCACCCAAGAAGCCTAGAATGCAAGCCCAGCACCAACAGTCAAACTCTCGACTTGTTGAAACCAGCGCAGCTTGAGCTGGGTACCTGCAAGGACAATCCAGAAAGCACAGTTGGAAGAAGAGCAGCATTGTGTGCAGCAAGTGCTTCAAAAGGCGCCTGTACAAGAAGCGCTACACTATGTACATCGCCTTAAATACGACCATGACCCTGACTCTGACTATGACCCCTGTCAATCGTGTTGTATAAATTCCTTTGATCGTCTGACCGATGCTTCACAGAAGCATGTGCATGTTTTGCCGATTGTGCTGGTGGTATGTTGTAGAATGATGTAGAACATGTCGGTGAAGCCGTTGCTCGATTGACAGTATAGGTTATTCTAGGTTCTGGCTTTGCAGTCGAGTGGGTTTGCGACGGTCATCTTAAGATCGTAGAGTTCAACCAGTTCACTCTAGAACGCTGTTGATGATGTAAAACACCTCCATCTCTGTAACTGTATGAATGAGGCTGTTGACCTCCCGCCTTGCCGAATTGGGCGTTGCCTCCCTGGAGCGCATGGACAAAGTCTCGGGTTGCTTGCGGGTTCTGGGCACAGGGTTTGTCAGGGCCGAGATGTTGGAGCCAGGGTGTCGGATGGAATGTTTGGCTTGGAAAATTGCAAGGTGTAGCAGCTGATGGTCTGAGAAGTTGAGGCTCTTCACATAGTGGCACAGTGAGCATAGCAGGTGCAGTGGTTTCCTTTTCAGCGCCCCTGCACATGCCGGCCTCTACAATTCTCCGAGAGCTTGCAACACGATGCTGTTAGACAGTTAGACGCTTTCGGCTAATGAATTGTCGGAAGCTGGTGCGGCTGTGCTGAACTGCACAACGGCAACGGGGTTTGAGGACCGGACAGTTCAAAGGAATGTGTTCGGTCAAGTGGGCAGGGGGCCGGGCATGCTGAATGGCAGAGTTTTCAGGCATTATGCATTGAGGGACTACTTTTGTTCTGCTCGGTGGAGGAGTGGATGCTCCTGCGGCAGAGCTTGTTGCATTTGCTACCAGGCGGGCGCTCGGAGTGTGTAATTTCTATAGTTTCCAGTTGCACTGATCCCGTGGCCTAGCGGCCGTTGGCAGGCATTCCAATCCCTCCAGAGCTGCTCTTCGATGCACCGTCTGTTGCAGAGCTGTCCTTGTCTCAGCGCTTGACACCAGGTGCTTTAGTTGTCTTCAGCATGAACGATCGTCCCATAAGCGGATGCTCACAGAGCATGAGCACTTTCTTCGCACCATGGCTCTGCAGCATGAGACTAGGTGCAAGTCTCACGATGCGAGACCGCAGACAAGAGCCATACTGCAGATTCCCGACTACAGAGTGTCCCTGTCTGCTTTATAGAGCAGAATCCGATCGCTGCCATGGGAAACATTTGCTACACGACCGGCACAGATGGCAAAGGCACAGCCTGCATGAAAGCTCGTGATGCCAGAGTAATCGGTGTGTGCCGGGTGCCGCGGAGAGAAAGTGCTTCCTGTTACACGAAAATCACTCCACTACCACCCCCGACATCTGCCAGAATCGAAGTCTCAAAAGTGCGCCTCAGGCTTCGAGTTCAGCTTTGCCAACATTCGGGCTATGCGCCGCAAGCGCGAGGAAGGGAGACTGAAGGGCGCTGAAGGGGTCAGCTATGGAGGGTTTCAGCCAGCATGAATCAAAACTGCTCTTGCGGTCCTCTACTCGTTTGGCTTGTGGGCAGCACCTTGTTCGCTGCGAGAGGCAGTTGACCTCGTGCGACCACCGTCCGTGTCCAATTCAGATCAGCTTCGTAGTTTGAGTGCTACTTGGCGGCTCGTTGAACCTCGGGACCAGCCATACGATGCTAATTGATACAAAGTCTTGGTCAGCATCGAAACTTCGGCGCTGGCCCTCGAAGGAGAAAGCCGTTCGCAGTGCGGGCTCCGAGCTGAGTGAGCCCTACACGATCGACTGGAGCAAAGCAAGGAGAAGTAGTGGTTTTGCTCCGAGTTCTAAAGTCTGTGTGCTTTCAGATCGAAGATATAGGAGCCAAAAAGTAGTTATGCCGGCAAAAGGCAGGGCTGCAGGGCTTCAGGCTACGGGTTCAAAGTTCAGGGCTTCAGGATGCTCCAGGTCTAAATTTGGTTTGGATTTTTGGGGCTGGGGGCTTGCTGGAATAGTCATGGTTGGGATGAGCCAGAAGCAGCAACAATAGTCAGAATGATTCAGGCCGCCCCTGTGATTTCCGCTGTCATCATACATATCGTTCTATACGATGCAGGTGTCATTCATAGGCAACTCAGTCCTCAAACGGGGCCGAAGTGGTAACCTGTTCGTCCGACGCAACCGGAAGACCGAACGCTCATAGCAAACATCGCATACATGCTTGCAACAGATGTAGCGGGCTCAGCCCACTCAGTGATCATGAATGAGTTTTTTGGTTTGAGTTTGACATTACACGTCTCGGATGTCCGAATGAAAACTCTTTGAACATGTCGTTGCAGAGTTGTGTATATGTCGGCCCGCGGGCATGTTAAGAGGTTGGGAATCGGCGTGGTTCTTTTGTCTCTGTATAAACACAGGTATGAGTCAGTGCACATGAAAATACAAATATACATACCAGTGCGGAGATAGAGATATATATATATATACATATATATATATACATACACACACACAGAGATATACATACATAGAACATCTACTCACATACAAGCCCGGCCCTACTTCAGGGTCGATTTAGACATGTTCTGTGCTGCATTCGCTGGACAGGAGCACGAATTGGCAGTTTGAGGAGGTCAAGGGCCCAGGCCCGCCAGCATGCCATGCCACACTATCATCACTGTAGAGCAGAGCAGATTCACGCCGTTAGGCTTTCGATACCTGGTTGGAAGGGAAAGGGTCGGAGGGCGATGAAGTCTTCGATTCGGAGTTCCCCTGACCATTCCGCAGCCGGCGCCATCTTGACCAAACCAGAGCGGAAGGTTCCTTCTTCTACAAGTTCGCTCCTGTTATCGACAAGGTTCAAGGCCCGATCGAGGAAGGCCGGACGAAGCTGAGAGAGAGACCCTCAGAATTTGAGGGGCTGATGCTCGGTTGCTCTTCAGAGAATCTCTGCCCCTCCGGCTGTCCTTCTTCTGGTAACAAGCACGTTATATTGCAATACTTCAAGTCACGGTTGCAATAGGTGTCAAGGGCAAGCGCAACCGAGGATGTACCAGACCAACATGGTGGAGTCTCGGCAGTCGGAGTCGGGAGCACTCAAGAAGCAACGCCTTTAAGCATTGAGCCGCAAAGCAAACAACTGTGAACAAGCTAGGTACCGAGTTGGTTCTATGTTGAGCTGCTGCGATAATTTCGAGGGTCGTCTTCATGGTTTGATGAAGACTTGCTTTGAAGGGGCAGCCCCACTTTTCCAGTTTCCTGGTTTCAGTAGCTGCTGCCTCTTTTGGAGCCGTGCTTGCAAGCTCCTTCTGCATGCTATTGCTTGCGACCACATGATGCGTGTACCGGTTGCTAAAGGATCCGAGCCGCGTACACTGGCGTTTCCTCGCGCAGGTCAGGTGAGCATTCGCTGGGATTCCACTATGTCTAAGTTGATCGAACTTAACTGACTTACCTGTCACGTTTGGTTCTTGCCTCCATGGCGAGTTCTGCATTCTCGATTTCACACTATCCCATGTCACTCCGAGCCTCTTGTTAAGAAGTGGGAGTTCAGAGCACAAACATCCGGTTCAGAAGTTGTGTCCATGTGGTGTGTTCGTTTGCACAGGTTTCGTGCAAGAATAAGTGCACTCCGACATCTGGAACCTGCATTTCTCCAGGGTGGCCAAGTTGGGTTCAAAAGATTCGCGGCGCGTAGGAAAGCAAATGCCTTGCGGACGGATTTGAATTGCATGAGGCCGCCTGCAAAAGTTGTCGAGTCTTGTTTCTCAAGCCTGACCGGGAAAGCAGCTAAGGATTGGCCCAAGGACCAGCAAAAATATGACCTCATAAAGCGCACAGAAAGTGGATACAGGTTCAAGCCGGGCTCAGAGCCCAACTTCACTTTCGTGCAGGCAAAGTACACGGCCATCAAGCCTCATTCAGAGATCGGCGAGTTTGAGCGTGATGCTTTCACTGACAAAATGCACTTCCGTGGCCAGCGCCTGGCTGCTGCATGCCACCCTGGCCGTGGGCAAGGTGTTTGCGATGTGCCGCACATCAAACTCATCGGTGAGATCCATCCCAACGATATCGTGCAGGGCTCTGTGGGAGACTGCTGGCTGCTCTCCGCCATCTCTGCACTTTCCGAGTCGCTCGTCGCCGTTATGAGAGCAGTGACAAGCAGTGCGGCAGCTGCCCTTTATAGCCGGTGCGAGTGCTTAGAACGGAGCCTCTGTTGTTGCGTCAGTTTCTGCTGACATGATGAAAGCTCATCTACTCTTGCTTTCTGTCTTCAACGGCCAGCAATCGCAGGTTCGAGGGTGCAATCGCCAAGATCTTCCGAAAAACGAACCAGATCGACCGTCTGCCCCGTGACGCGCCCACCAAGTACACCGTCACACTGTACGATCTGAAGCCTGGCAAAAGCACGCCGGTATTGCTCTTCCGGTTGCTTCAGATTCTGACTGAGAGGAAAGCAGGGAAGCGTGCTCACCCTTGGGTCGCCAAGCACACCCCATGGCTTTCCGATCTCAGGTACGGCAAGGGTTTGAACCTCTGTGTCTCTAGCCACTGACGCGTTTGCTGTCTTACCATGACCGCCCGTCGGTGCCAAGCGTAAGCCATGGTGTTCGCTTCTTAGAGATGGGCCGCAGGGCTACGGGTAACCACAGTTTCGCGAAGAGCTCCCGCGCAGGGCAGAAGACACGATCTGGTCCGACTCGTCCCTGTCGAGCATGATGCCGAGCCATTTAGTTCGCTATTGACCTGCACACGACATAGAAGTCAAAGGATGGGACGCATGCCTAAGCCATAGGCATTCCGACCCAAGGAAGTCCTGGTCACCTGTGGACATCGAGATCGATGAGCGCCTGTGCATGCTGCCGGACGGGAGTGACCTGCTAGGTGCCTGGATCGTGTGGGGTCGCGGCTGGGGGTCAAGCAGAGACCAAAAAATGCCACCAGAGGAAAGCGGGCGAGGGATTGCAATGCAAGACTTAAGTGCAGGATCCATCCCATCACATCGATGTCAGCGTGCCTGGAAGGATTCTTTTGACCCTTTGGGAACAGACTCCGCTGCGTAAGACTTGTCTGATCAGCTGCTGGCCGGCCTGCGGCCTCTTCAGACCCTAATTGCTGTTGCGGCAAGGGCAACTTCTCTTCTGAGCCGACTCCTAGACCCTAGATTCTCTAGCTCCATACCTGGCACGGAATCAGCTTCAGCCGGATTGCAGAGGTGCGCATCCGAGCTACGACGCCGAGCTGTGGGCCTGTTACCTTGAGAAGGCCTGCTACCAGGGGCTGTCGAAAGTCACCGCATCTTCAAGGTGTTTAACCCGAAATGAGGACCGTTCCTACCTGCATCCTTACATTTCCAGCTGTTTGTTGCAGTCTCGTTCAAGGTTGTTCAATGAAGCTGCATCTTTCGTTGAGAAGATGTAGTATGCTGGGTTACAGAAGCCTGAATTGCTGGGTGAGCGAAGAGATGCTAAACTCAGAACCCGATTTTTGCAGGTTTGTCACATGGTTTCTCTCTCTCTCTCTCTCTCTGTCTTTCTCGTGTCGCCCCATGGGCCCGTATCGAGAGAAGTCTTTTCAGCTAGTTTTGAACTGTCGCACTGAAGCTACGACCTAGCGACATGGGCCGGAGCATGGCAAAGGCAGTTGCCATCCACTGTGGTGGGTGGGACGAACTGGACGGAGGGCAATGCCCCCATGCCTGGCGCATCTTAACTGGCTGCAACGACCAGCAACTTGGCAAACCTGTTGCACGTGTCGGTTATCATCGTGTTTTCTCCCACCTTGCAAAAGCCAGGGTGCCCCATGGCCGCGCAAGACCCGTCAAAGAGCCCACCTCATCGTAGATCCGGGAGGCGGTTAGAAGACTTGACTTTCTGCACAGAAAGTGACTTGTGTGCAGTTCGCAAAGGTATGTCTTCATGGATGATGGAGACGGGTTCGAATGCTACTCTGCCTTTGCAAGGAATCCAGCAGGTGATAAGCCTGAGTCATGTTTGCGCTGTACTTCTATGGTCTTCCTGTCAGTGCCAAGGTTGGGGCAAGTTCAATCCCAACACAGAGACTTGGGAGCCCATGGAGAACTCAATCAAGAAGAGCTCCCAGACCATTTGGCGCATGGATTGGCCGGAGGTGGGAGGAGGAGGGGACAAGCGGACAAAGTGCGGCCACAACGAGATGCAGCTCGTCAGCACAGGTGGTGCTTGGCAGGGTTTCGGTGTGTCGGGGACACGTGAAGATCTGTTTAGTACATGTATCAGGTTTGAGCGCATGTGCGCCTGGGACGATCAGAACTACGTCATGGCAGCTGGTACCAAGCCGGGCTCTGACACTAACACCACAGATGGGATTGTGGATGGCCATGCCTATACGGTCATCACCTGCTTGAATGATGTGGCTGGCACCACCCATGATCTGATCAAGGTGCCGGCAGTGAAAGTGCGCGCTGCAACCCAGTGCCTGGAGTCCCATTGCTAACCCATGACGCGATGATGCGCGATGCAGGTGCGCAATCCCTGGGGCCGGGGCGAGTTCACCTCTGGCGAGTGGTGCGATGACGGACCCGGATGGAAGAAGCATCCTGAGGCCAGATTCGGGGAACGATGGGGAACGCATCTCTTCCGCGCCTTCACGCTATCTCATGCTCCAGCAGTTAACCTGCAATGTTCTGCTGATCCAGTGGTATCTGCTGCAGCAGCTTTGGCATGATGCGAGGTCAAACAAGTGTGCAAGCCTGTGAATGCCAACGATGGCGTGTTCTGGGCCCCTCGGCCAAAAGTCCTGACAAGTCGATTGTTGCGCATTCGGTGAAGCTGTTTTTCCTGCAACTTTGTGGATTTATTCGAGTAGTTTTGCAGGTCAGCAAAGAAGAGTTCTTCAAGTATTTCAAGACCATCTACCTGTGTGCCACGGACATGAAGAAGTTTGTTGGATGATTGGGTGAGCAAGGGCTCGCCTGCAGTGTTTTGCCACAAAGCTGGAGAGGTTTTAATAATTGGTTGGCTGGAGAGAACTTCCGGCTTGCGCCCAGCGTGCACGAAAAGAGCTGCGTTTGGCGTGTTGGACTCCATCTACGCATCAAGAAGTCTCTCTGAAGTGTTTGCAATGCTTCACCGACAGAGCCCCAGAGCTCAGCTTGCCTTGTCCTCGTTTATTTTTCTGTGCTCCGCCTGGACCAGCGAAGCCTGAGGCCTCAGATCACTTCTTTACAGTCACCCCTTCGGAAACCTTGAAGGGCCGAAGAAGGATTGAAATTCCAAGCCTTGCTGATGCCAAGAAAGCATTCGGCTGTTGAGGTCCCAACAGCTCCAGCGCCTCCGAACTCCCGTCGCCAGCGAGGCGTACCGGCTTAGGGCATGGGGTGTCGGCGCAGGCCGGGTTGAGCTTAGTCGATCTTGAATTTTAAGCTACACGGCTTCTAATTGTAGTATGCTCTTCACTAAGATGCAAGTGAGAGCTTTGCTGCTTTATGTGAGTTGTCGGGCTTAGGATTGAATCGTCACGTAAAGCGTAGACAGAGACACAGGATGTGGGACTGCCTCTTGCAGGGTGACTCGACCCATCATGTTCTGGAGGTAAGCAATGGAATCTTCTGTAAGGCCCGGCAGCAGACTCCAACTCGATGTTCATTTAAGGTAGCTAGGCCAAGGTGCATCCGGCACAGGAAATATTCGGACCTGCTTGCTGTATCCATGGGTCTCATTCAAACTGTCTTGCAGCTGTGTCCCGTCTTTGCGGGCATCGTTCATGATATTCACGAGTTGAATCTGAATCTCGTCTTCCAAGGCACGCGTGCTTCGTAATGACAGTTCACTCCCACCGGCAGGTTCTGCTTAGCCTCTGGACCCGACTGTGCCGTTCTCCATCGTTCTCCGTCCAACTGCAACCTGAGCTGAGCTTGCGTCCGAGTTGAGGCGATTTTGGCTGGCGTGGCCTCTCAAAGTCCAGAGGTTCCCGCTTTCCATCAGGTCGTGTACTTCAACTAACAGGTTCGCATTATAGTGCAGTATGCGTCGGATCAACACTCTTGTCCTTCGTGTCGCATGCTGTGGCTTCGACGTGCAGTAGTACGACCAAGATTTCTGACTGAAGTAGTCATTATGGTCGAGACTGCGCTTGTTTTTAGGCAGGGCTTCCTCGGTCCAAGAGCAATTGGTGGGAGTTGGGGGTGCAATCGAGGGATACACAGGTCCATCCAGGTGCACATGGTCAAATTCATACAATCAGTGGCAGACTTGAGTCGCAAGTTGTGTTGTCAAGCACCTTGTCAAGCTTCTCTGCAGACAGGTTGATTGTTGAAGCTGCAAATAGCCAATGCCAAGTAGTTTCTTTCCCAAACACTAGATGTGCATTTTGCTTGGACCTTCGCTACGGGATGTTGTCTCTCGTCGGTCGTTTGCATTTCTTTGCTCTCTGCCGTTGGCCAGTCCACACCCTTCACCCGCAGGTCACGTCATTGCCACGGAATCCACTGGTGAGGTCAGAATCTTAGATCTGCTGTTGTGCTCTGCTTCAGACCAAAAGTCAGACAGCACAAGCGATTGCAGGAAACCGGTTATGAAGTTGTAATCAGGCAGAGGCACAAGTAAGCTTGAGTACATGTCTCTCACACTAGGACCTCTTCTTAAGACACGAAATGGAACAGTCTCGTCCTTCACAGCTAACAGTGCTAACAGCCTTTAGCCAAGTCGTGAAGGCCAGCAGGTGAAGCAGCTCCAGCCGAAGATGGAAGGACAGGCAAAACAAGCGTTCTCCGAAAGCCAACGGAAAGTGTGAATCTCTGTCCATCCCGTGGAAAGATTGATAGGATGCCTGCAACAGTCCATCCGACTGCCGTTCTGCGTGGTGATGTAGAACTGGGCTAGAGCCCCGGAGTGCCTACCGTTCGTGCAATGTGCCGTTGCTGTGACTGTGGACTCTGTCAGAATTCCAGCCTCTTCGTGGCGTCGTAGTCGCTGTCATCGCTTTTGCACATGCGCGCCTGCTGCATCATGATGGCAGCTGACAAGCAGTAGCAACTTCAGCGATGTGGACTCTACATTCAGAGAATGCTGCTGCCATCCGGTCCGGTGTTGGGATGCAGGTGAAGGATGTGTCGTCGGAGAGCATGCCATCGTCAGCTTCTCAGCGGGATGTTCCGGAGGTATCGAGGGACTCCAGTCGCAGCTTCCAAGGTCGGCCCCAGAGTCCGTTTGGGCGCACGCTGCCGCATTGCCGCCATGGCGATTGTGGAGGACCTGTCGGCCTTTGGATGCCTACATGGCACCGGCTGCATGCGCATGCCTTGCCGATGAGGAAGATGTGATCCTTGAAGAAGACTGCGAGGCAAGCCTAAGCGAGCCATCTGCTGCGAGGATCAGCGAAGTATGTGCGTTGCAGGTCGGTCCCCGAGGCCTCCTCCGGGGTCCGTTGGTGGCAGGAAAGCGAAACCGCTTCGACGAGGGATGCTTCATTGGCCCGTTGCCCAAAAATGTTCTCTGCATGGTGTCGGGGATTGGATTTGGAGGTCCGGGTTAGGGTTTGGCTCGGGATCCCGGCCTCTCGACGATGATGTGGGCTTCAGGCCGTGCATCTCCTTGACCAGGGTGTGCAAATTCCGCATTCCTCCGGACAAGCACAAGTACTGCAGTGAGCATATAGCAACAACATTCTGCTTTTCGTACAAGCAACAAGCTCAGGTTGTCACAGCCCGCTTTCGGGCGCGCTCCCGAACGGCAGCTGCCTCAGTGTGTGGAAGCAGTTCAGTGGTTAGCACGATGACTTTCGATGGTGTGGCAAGTTGGCAAGCATCAGCATGACTCGGCATCTCGTCCGCGCTGCACTCACTACATCTTGAAAGGGCAACGTTTGCAAACCGTCATGTCGGCATGCAGTGCTTTTGGGCTCCAGCCTGGTGGTTGTGCACTCTGCACGATGTATCGACACCGACAACGCCCCCCCCCCCCCCCCCCCNNCCCCCCAACCCACCCCCCCCCCCACCCAGACACACACACACACACACTAACTAAAGGACCAGACTGTTGATCTTTGCCAGGCCATGTCAGCATCGGCGACGACTGTTTGTTCGAGATTGGTTCCATTGTGCGGGTCTTATTCCTGAGTTCGGGAGTCTGCAAGCACATCACGCGGCATGAACTGCGGAACCGAAATATACCCGCTGGGGCATGATCGAAAGTGAGCGTGCTGCCCGCGGCTCGCTCCACACAGCTGCACGGCCAAGCCGTGCACAGGACTAGAACGAAATTGTACATGCCGGTATTGTGAGAGAATCGGACAACCTTTAGAAAGAGGATATAGAATCTAGACCACCTCCTCCGGTTCAGAATCGCGTATTTCAGTCTGTCAACGCTCTTTGCCTATCCTCAGAGCCGCAACAACTCCCTGCACCCTACATTCCTAAAGAGACCCGAACCCCACGTCGAGGTAGCAGGGATTCAATGCAAACAACTGAAATTCTATGCTGCCAGTGCCTCTTGCAAAGCACGGATGTTCCCTCCTGAGGGAGCTGCACTCCACAGAGCCCGAACTTCCTAGCTTTGTTAGCTGCTGGTCTGGGGTTGCCGTCCTCGCTATGGACGTTCGGCCCAACTTGGTGGCCAGCAGCAGCGGAAGCAGCATCCTCGCAGCTAGTCTGACCCTGTCAAGCGATGACGGGGCACGATTATCGGCGTCCTCCAGAGAACCTCGGCCGGGAGACGCTGGGGTGGGAGGTCGGCAGGCTCAGCCGCGAAGCATTCTTGAATTAGTTGAGGCACAAGCTCAGCCACAAAGGACTTGAAATCTCCATTTTTCTGGGAAGTATCAAAATCCGTGGGCACTCTCGGTTGTACCGAGGCTTCAGGATGGACCCGAATAGAGATTCGGAAGGCTCGAAACTTGACATGGGGCCACTTGCCTAAGGAGCTCCAGCTGCCACGTGCCAACTTCTCTCAGGACTGCCCTCCACCGTTCGCTCCCTAGAAACACTGACATAGACGGCGGCACTTGCCGGTTCCGCTATGTGCATGTTCGGAGGGGTGTGGGGAGCCAATGCCAAGGAAGCCGACAAGAGTGCCCAAAGTACATTCACAGTTGGCATGCCCTACAGAGTCAGTCACGCACACACACACACACACCCACCCCTACCTTGTAACCCCCATCAGCCGCGTAGAGCCTTTGACGGTGCAGGATCTCGGGACCTCTAGCCAGGTATCAGCAATGAGCCGATGCGAAACGGACCCGGAGTTGCTGGGTTGCAGAAGAGAGGCGGCTGAAGGTCCAGGTGCCAAATCCCTGGTCAAGAGAACGATATTGGTAGAAGCTACTGGTATATACGGGGGGCTCCGTGCTGAACCAAGCGTCAGAGCAGCTCTTCTTTGTGGCGCTTCCCAGGCTGATGAAGATGGGCCGGGCCATGACCATCAAAGTGGCTGCGGCCGAGTCCGAGCCATCAACCCCGCTCGGTGGAGCCATGAACACAAAAGCTCAAGAGAATTCGGGATCGCTCTCGGTTCATGTCAAGGGGCCCCAGGTTTGACAACAAGCTACAGCGTTGGTTCGCTTCCAGCATCACGTAGGTTCTACCACCCAAGAGCGAGCTCACTCTAGAAGCATTCTCCAACCTTGGGACGGGGAACGTCTCCAGCTTGCAAGAGCCGAATGCTGGCTCGCGCCTGGGAGCTTACAGTAAGCCGACACGGGATTAGCTACCCTGTGCCCCAAATCCTGACACGGCATCCTTCAGAAAGCTCAAGGAGTCGATTGCCTCGAGGAGGAGGAGGAAGCCGCTTTAAGATGGGAAAAAGAGGCACCACTTGCCATGTTATGTTGCAGCCGATCGCCACTCGGCACAGACCCACCAACGCTGCATTCTCAGCCTGAACAGGTGAGACTGCCTGGCAGACCTCTGAGTCATGATGGTTTGTTGATTGCTGGCGAGGCTCGGCAGCACGGTAGCGGTTGAGTCAAAGGAGCCGGAAGCCATTACATCAGTTCCTCTGACTCTAGCCCAAACACACCACTAGCTGAGATCTTACCTGGCTTCTTGGGCACTGCCCTCCTGTCATACGACGTTTAGGTGTAGGCTCACCCTGCAATCGCTGACTGCAATGCTGTGACGTGATAGTGAAGTTCAGGGTGTGAAAGCTGGAATGGTTTCCGTGAACCGAAAGCCTCCGAATGCCTCCGACAGCCAAAGGTCGGAATGTCAAGGCCAGCAGAATTGAAAGGGGTCACGCACCACTGCGTAGCAGGCGAAGAAGTTCGGTATGGGCCACAAGATTTCAGCTAGCTCGACTTTCGTGGTCTTCGCCTTTCTACTGTAGTAGCTCGTCCTTCCGGAGATACGAACCTTACAAGGTCTCAACAATTCAGATTCGGGAAGGCGAAAATAGGGTGGCTTTGCGGTTCGAGTTGCAAACGAAACAGATTGAGCATGGACCCTGTGGCCTTTCCCGAGTCACATGTGAGCCGCGGTTTTTTTGTACGCTTCTTTGATTGTAAGTAAACGCGGAAATATCAATCGTTGTCGCCGAAAAAATTTGCACGGGACTGTGTGCGCGGAAGCACGCGGAAGCTTTGCGGAAGCAATCGCTCCGCGGAAGGTCCCGCGGAAGCTCCGTCTTGAGATATGTCATGCCGCGGATATCATGGATATCCTGCGTTTGGCCTTTGAATGTACATAATACCTCAACAAACTGCAAACCCTAAACCCAAAGTCATCTCAAAAGCCTAGATCCACAAGTTCACAAGCCCCGAAGCCGAAGTCCCCACATCGCCAGCAAGAACTTGTGCATGACCATACACCTGCATCTAGCTAAGTTGAAGCTACGTGCTAGGTTTGCCTAAACAAACAGCCTCCTCAAGACTCCAGCCCGCACTTGCGGAAGCAAGCCCTCCAAACTCAGCGAAATAACCGTTGCGGAAGGGATCCGCGGAAGCGACATGAAAGTTGAGGCCCGCGGAAGCGAAACCCTCGCGCGCGGAAGCATGCGGAAGGGTCCTGCGCAAGGATTTCGTTATTTCCATTTTCCCAAACACGAATAAAAACCACAGCTCACATTGGCTCCTCAGGAAGAGCCGAGTTACACCTGCTCTCTCTCTCTGTCTCTCTTCCTCTCTCTGTCTTTATCTCACTATCTATCTGTCTATCTATCTATCCATCCATCTAACTCCCAATAGTTATGTTGTTATATATGATAAACAGGCAGGTAACCATCTCCTGTGCCCGTGCCCATAACGCAGTAACTCACTCCACAGACGCGGAGCCCAGAATTAGACCCATTTCAACCGCTACAGAACCGTCACGCCGTAGGAAGGGCATGTACCCACCAAGACCATGGAGGCCTGCGGGGTGGGGGACGTTTTAGTTTAGTTGTTGAGGGCGTGGGGCTGATTTCGAGTTTGAGGTCTCCGGATGTTTCAGAGTTCTCGGGATTTTTCGGCATACGGCGCTCAAGGTATGTATGTATATATACATATGTATGTATGTGTATATATATATGGCCTATCTGTGAAGGTAAGTTTGTCAACCAAAGGGGGGCTTGAGCTTTGGGGAAAATCAATTTCAGATTCGAGTTGTTGATTCGGGCTTGAGGTGTAAGAGAAGGAGGTTTCCGAAGGCACCGTCGCGAAACACCACCAGAATGCCAACACAACACGCTCTTGATTTGCGGTTCAGGTAGCGCCTTGTGTCAGAGGGCAGACCACCTTGAGCGCTCAGTCAAAAAGGGTAGGTCTTGTGCACCAAGGCTTGCTCTTTCGGATGAGGGTGTAACCCCAAACCCCAAAACTCCTCAACCCTAAACCCTCAACCCTTAACTCTAAACCCTAAACCCCCAAACCCTAAACCTTGAGCCCTACACTCCAAACCCAGAACCCTAAACCCTGAACCCTAAACCGTAACCTTGAACCCTAAACCCTACACCTGATAACCTTATAAACCTTATTGGGCTTCTACTTCCTAAACCTTAAATCCTAAACCTTAAACCTTGAACCCTAAACCCTAAGCCCTAAACCCTAAACCCTGAACCCCTAAACCCTAAACCCTACACCTGATAGCCTTCTAAACCTTATTGGGCTTCTACTTCCTAAGCCTTAAACCCTCAACCCTAAACCTTGAGCCCTACACTCCAAACCCAGAACCCTAAACCCTGAACCCTAAACCGTAACCTTGAACCCTAAACCCTACACCTGATAACC